GGGAGGGAGGGGGGAAATGTGGAGCTGATACCAAGGGCTCAAGTAGAAGGCAAATGCTTTGAGAATGATGATGGCAGCATATGTACAAATGTGCTTGACACAATAGGTGTATGGATGGATTGTGATGAGTTGTAGGAGCCCCCAATAAAACGATTTAATTTTTTTAAAAAACGGTGTGTGGGTAGTATCAGATGTACCTATCAAACTCCACCACTGGGGAGGTGAATTGTTCTCAGCACCCAGCCCAAGGGTGACTGTTATGAGATGGAGGTCAGGTGCACCTCTTTCTCTCCAGCCATTCAGACAACAGCTGGAAACCCTCTAGGCCACCCCCACCCCGCCACCCTCACCAATGGAACTTTCTCCTCCTCCACTGCTTCACCAATCCAGCACACTGGCCATTCAGAACTCACAAACAGCACTTATGGTGGTGGGGTTTAAGACGGAAGAGACAAGTGACGATTACTCAGGATACAGTTCTTCAGTCCGGGTAGTTTCTGCCCTGTGCTTTCCCTATGCTTCTGTTTGACTCTTGGCCTCTGGGCCCTCCTGGCTTCTTGGGCTGGTGACGTTTCTTTCTGCCAGTAAGCCTTAGCCTGACGGCTTTCCCTTTTCTTACTGCAGGAACCAGGAAGCCCTCCGAGGTGCCGCCTGCTGCACTCCTGGTTCTGCCAACACCGGATCTATGCTGCTGCTCACTGGGTGCTCCCATCTCCCGGGTTACAGCTCGCGCTCCCTCTCTCTCACTCTGACTCCTGGGTCCAGGGGTTCTCAGAACAGGGACCTGGGTCCAAAGGACACGTCCTACTCCTGGTTATTCTTGGTAGTGGAAGCCACTGCCCTAATTCATAAACTGTGACTCTAGGCTAGCTCATATTAAGTCCAGTGAGACGGTAAAACTGACCCACCTCCTCGTTAAGAGTTCTATACTCTTTATTTCCCTGGCCCCCACCTGCCAAGAGTGGTGTGCACAGTGCTTGCACTATCAAGCCAGTCAATCCCCTTGGTGAGCCATAAGCTCCTGATTTGCAAAGATCCACACTATCACTTGGGGGGAGTTGTGAGACCAGGTGATCTATCACATCACATTTGGCTTCTTCAAGAAATAAATGAGAAAGGAAAAAAAAAAAAGATGGAGGGTAGAAA